TAAAATTTACCTGACGATTCAAGGTAGTTGGATCATGCCTAGACCAAAACAAATCAAGAAGAGTTTGATAAGTACACTCATTAGGATCATACTGAACCCTAACAACCTCTGCATGGTTCGTTGTGTTGGTACAAACATCTTCGTAAGAAGGATTGTGCGTAACCCCATGAGTGTAACCAACCTCTGTCTCGATCACACCATCGATCCTCTGGTAAGCAAGCTCAACTCCCCAGAAACAACCGGCGGCGAACTCAGCAAACTGAGTTCCCGGTGCCGGAACATCGTTGTCGGGCTCTTGAGCTATCGGAGAAGGAACAATCACAGGTTTTTCTACAACTTGAGGAGTTTCTTGAGCTACTGGAGATGAATCCATTGATAAAATTGATTTTTGAGAAAAATGTGTGAGTGGTGGTGATGATAAAGCCTCGAAGAACGTTATATAGAAAGAAGGAGAAAAAGCCAGTCAAAGGTTTAATTTGAATATTATTTTCTTTCTACAGAAATAAGAACACACAAATTGAATATTTGGTTGTTTTTTCTTTTGGGTCAACAATTGAAGAACTGTAAATACCATATTTTAAAATATTATATGTATGTTTTTGAGGTTTTAATCTGAAAAATATTGATCAAGAACTTGGAAAATATATTCTCTCGTAATCATTATACAATATATAAAAAAAAAAGTATACCATATAGTTTTGGAAACTTAGCACTAATAACCAACAAAAAAAACTATAATTCAATAACTATCTAATTTTTTAAAATCTAATAGTTTAAATTTTGCGACATAATTTTATTGGATGGTTCCGAAGGAATCTTGACTTTTCGTTAAGAATAAATAAGCATAAGTGCAACTGGGTTGGTGGCCACGTGTTTATTTATGTAACTAAAAATTTGATAAATCATTAGGGCATTTTCATTGAAAAAATTGAGGAGGTATATTAGATGGTTTTTAAAATATAAAATTATTAAAATTTGTATAAAATAAAGAAATAGTCTGTTTTTTGTTGAAATAGTGGGGTGTATTG